CACTGGGAGAGAAGAGTTAATCCACACACTGCACTGGGAGAGAAGAGTTAATCCACACAGAGGAAATTAGAAGGCAGTTAGGATGGATTTATAAAGAAGGCAGTTAGATAGGCAGTGACAGAGCTCACCACACCTTAACATGCTCACAGCCAGCCAGCTGTCCTCGTTCATGGACATGTGCATCTGGTTGGTATCAGCGAGGTCCAGGGGCGTCCCGTCTCTCTGCCACACAATATCGGGGGGATCCTGCACCCCTTCTCCCTGCAGTTCACAGCGCAGACTCACTGGCTTCCCCAGGGATGAGGTCACATTACCAGGGTCCTGCACAAACTGCAACCCTGCACACAAGAGCACAGCCAGTCAGACCAACCTAAAGACCCCGTCGGACACAGCAGCATGGAGAGGGCCGGAAAACAGACAGGACAGGGACATTCCGGGATTGTCACCTGGCTGGCAAGACCTACAAAACAGGAGTCATTTTACACCGTCATCTCTGTGTCTTCAGAGCTCCTGGAGAGGCCAGACAGCGGTGGAACTGGCAATGTCCACAGACAGGCACCTACAGCATGTGTGCTGGTGCACTTATGTGTGCTTGACTGAATGGTGTCTTGTACACAGTTTATTCTATTTAAATGTGATGTGATTTAGCTATTTAACAGGATGTTAAAGGTTTAGGATTGCAGCTAGTAGCAGGGCAAAGGTTAAAGAACTGGATTAGTGTAAGAAGCCAAGGACCCCATAACAAACTAATATACAGGCATCCGCATACAGTTATTTTTAAACATTCTCAGAATTGACTGAGACGCCATACACTTTTGTGGGTTCCCATAAAATAGTTACACATCCTGGAAGCATTACAGGATGCCCACGATAGCCTCTGTAAGCTAATGATCATGAACACGACCATCTTCCTCAGTCATATCAGAAAGTCATCTCTACTGCACCTCCCAGGAAAGAAACTGGAGCCCACAAGCAGTCTGATAAATGCTAAAGACAATGGCCTCTTCCTTCTCCAGCGGTTTTGCTGTTTTGCTGAGTGAACACACTGATAGTGAATGTCAGGTCAAGGTAACAGACTCACATATGGATGTCTCTCCCTCTGTGCTTTGTGATAATGCAGCTGTGTGCTAGTGGAGATTGCTCAGGGTCAGTGTTGTGTGTTAATGCAGACTGCTTACTGTCAGTATTGTGTGTTAGAGGAGATTGCTCACTGTTGGCGTTGTGTGTTAATGAAGATTGCTCATCGTCTGGGTTGAGTGTTAATCAGATGTTCAGTGTCAGGGTTGTGCTGTGTGTAAATGCAGATGCTCGGTGTCAGTGTTGAAGTCTCTCTGGTGTTTCATACATGTAAACTGGTCTGCTATGGTGAGAAATGTACAGGTTGTGGACTGTGTTGCAGAGTATTGCATCACCAGCACTGAGTGTAGGACTGTGTCCAACATCACTCCCACAGCACACTGCTGTATGCACACTCTCCTCTCTCTCCCTCACTCCCTCTTCCACTTGCAGTCTCTTCCTATTCCACTGTCACTGATCCTCTTGTTCAATCCCTCATTCTTTCCCTTCTCATCCTTTCTTCTTCCCTTTTCACCACCCTTGCTCCCTGACTCTTGCTTGTCCCTTTTGCTATGGCCGTCTTGCGTCTCAGTGAAGTTTTCTCAGGCCCATCAGCAGCCCCCCTCCCTGCCTGGCCCTTCCTCTTTGTCTTGAATTAGACCCTGACCTCTCACCCTTCACCTCTATGGTCTGGGGTGCAGTTCTATCCCGTTGTCATAGTGAAGAATGCCCCCAGAGTACCGACCTGACACACACTATCACACACACACTGACTCACATACGGACATACCCTGTGACAAATACTGACATGCACACGCACAGTGACACACAAGGTCCTACACACACATACCAACACACTATCACACACCACTAACACACACACACACATACAAACACACTTTCACACACCACTAACACTGACACACAAGGTTATACACACACATACCAACACACTATCACACACCACTAACACACACTCACACTGACACACAAGGTTATACACACATACCAACACACTGTCACACACCACGTACAGTATGTGTTAGTATTCTGTCCTTGTGGGGGATTATCTGCTCTCATTCTGTTTTCGTTTACTGCCATCTGCATTCAAGTGAATGTTCACAAAGTATTTTAAAATAATACTTTTGGTGCTTTAAGACGGACAAAAAGCCATTTGGTTTATAAAAAAAACTTCACTGCCATTGAGAAAACATCACAACATCGTATGCTTTTCAGGCGTTACTGACTTTGGGGGTGTTTTAAAGACCCAGTGTCTTTATAAACAAGGGCAAAAACAGTTTTGTTTGCACAGTGGGTGCTGGCACGTTGTACGGAAGTGCCTCGTATCCCACATTTTACTAGACAGTTGTTGGACAGATACAGTATATACGGATTAGTTCTTATGGTTTCATTGAGCTAGACAGCAGAACCATCTAGTGATCCAATTCTGCTTTGTTTATGTTAAAGGTCTTATATACAAAGAGTCATAGTGACTTCAGTTTACAGTTAAAATCACCATAACCCTTTCAGGGATTTCTTGTAAGGTGCATATATACACCTGTCATATTGCTGGGCATAGTACGCCTGTACTACACTGATGAGACCTTATAATAGGAAAAGAGCTGTTTTTGCACCTACCTCTGGCTTCTTACATGCAAAGCTGAATTAGAACTCTTTTTAGATGGTTCAGCTGTCCAATACTGTGAAAGAGTCAGAGCTATTTATTATTCAGATATTCCGCGGTTGATCCATTGATAAATACAATCATCAATTCAATGATCAATTCAATTCAATTTCATCAATTTCCCTACGGGATTAATAAAGTATTATCTATCTATCTATACACACATACTGTGTTACAACCTCAGAAGCTAGCTTCTTACACTAAAGGGAATCCCTTAAAGTGTCTCTCTCTCCTTCATCCATTTCGGTTTACAATCACATTCAGACCCACTGTAGGTGTTACAGAATGAATTGGTTCTGCCAAAACACCAAGCACACTTCCGCTCAAACACATTAGTACCACCCTGCCTCCCTCATCCTCCTCTGTCTCTCCCTGGCTCCAGCCTCTTTCCTGAGATAAGTCTGTGCACAGAGAATTCCTCCTCCAATCGGTCATTCAAGGATTCAAGATCCTTTCCAAGTATCTCCTTCCTCGTCTAACTCTGCTCTCTTCTCTTCTTCTCTCATTCTCCAAGAGCTGGTTCCTCTTTCTTTTTCTTTGCCTAGCTCTTTTCCTTCTGCTTTCTCCCCTTTCTCATTCAGTTCTTTCTCTGACCCTTGACAATATTTTTCAACTTCAAATCACCTCTGATTCATTCCTTCCATAACAAACCTCTCTTCTTCTCCTTCTCCCTCTCTTTCTGACTCATTCAAATTTTCAATTAATCAACCACCCACTCACAACGAGTTGCACTGATCTGGATTCTTATAGTGTATGTGAAGTGCTCTGACACATCCTAGTCGCAAGTCACGAGATTCTTATGTCCTCGTGGAGGAGTATAATGACACAGCCCCTGCACAGTGGTCTAGATTTCTACAGTACCTGTGAAGTACACTGCCACAGCTCTG